TTTGATTGGTGTGATCTGTGTACTTCCCTACATACATCAGAGATAAACTGCATGTTCCAGATAACACTATATATACTCAAACATTCACTCAAGATTTGAGACACATTCACTACAAGATGGGTGCAAATGCGATAATTTTCATTACGAATGGATTTAGTCAGTATATGATTTGTGAAAGAATGTATATATACCTATATATATATATCTCTCTCTCTCTCTTTTCCCTCTTATATGTGTTTATTTAACTCGTGCTCCTTCGTGCCACTTGTATTAAACGACCTGTTGGATGTTAATGCATTCGAATACGCAAGTTCCTTTCATTTAAGTCTATTTCCAATAACAAAGATCACTCTACATGTCTATGCCTGTCCTTGTCAGGTGTTATAACTATTACTGTGTTAGTGAAGGAGACTTAGGTACTCGGTTTTCGTTAGACACACACAAATAAACCAAAACTAAATTTTGCACAAACACACTCAGCACCTCACTCTTGGTACGCGTATGATATTTGTTATTTACTTATTGTTAGAGTGCAATGTAATAGACTTTAAATAAAGTATAAATGTATGCGTTTATTTCTGATCTCACCTTCGGTTTTATACCTAACGTGTTTATGCTAATGTTCAGCCGCTTGGGCTGGCCAGGGTAAAAACTCATATGGTCAGTATGAGAAACCGATGCTTCTCTGCAACTAAATCTCACGCTGATCACATGATGCCTTTCCGCATAGGTTGTGACTCACATAGAACCGCAACTATTATTAGAATGTTGCGGTTGACAGGCTTAATCCACTCTCGGGAATCGGTTGAGAAACTTAATCTGCTCTCGGAAGTCGGTTAAGTAATAACTCAACTCTTGGGAGTAATTTAAGCAACTTGATTAGCTCTCGGGAGTGAGCTAACTCTGATGACTTAGCTCTCGGGAGTGAGCTAACTCTGATGATTTAGCTCTCGGGAGTGAGCTAACTCTGATTACTCCTATAAATCAAAGATGGCTTCTTGCTGTAAAATCTGGCCTGAGACCTGTAGTCTCTCACTTATCTCCTCGGGACTCATCATATTTGTATGTTGGCGACATATCTGGGATAAGTCTTAGCGTCCACGAAGTGTTAGCTGGCTGTTCCGACTCACCATCCTCCCCATGAATGTGATTATTAAACGTCAATTGTCTACGTTGTCTTTCCCTGAACATTCTGGCTGAAATTATATATATATATATTTATATATATATATATAGTATTTGATTTTATTTAGTTTTTTTATTGAACTTCTCCAACTTACAATTTCAATTCTCTCGTATGGACGTCTGAGTACTATTTGATGAGCCTCTTCATCGATATGTGGGGAGGTGTATTATATTCTAAGGTGGCATAGGGCATGCGTGTGTATTAAGATGGATTGACATCCTATGCTGGAATTCGGAACAGTAGACTGAGTGGAGTTGCGAAAGCACAAGAAAACCTAAT